AGATAAATAATAGATGGGATGAAAAGCGAGATCATTTTTTGCAATCTAATGTGATATTTATTTAGTAAATACTTCTAATTTTTAATTCAATGTGATACTTCTGCGATATCAGTTCCAGTATACTAAACGTTTTATTTCAATGTGATATTTGTTAAAGATAACATTCTGTTTGTATTAATATAGTGTGATACTCGTTCAGTATAAACAGCCACATTAGTTTGGTATCAGTTCAGCGCCCCCAAATGCCATGGTACTTCCAAGAGTCGAGAGTCTGCTCGCCCTCTCCAAATGTTCTCACATGGCCACATGCATGCAACCACTATCAAGGAAGTCCTACTCACTGCCTTCTCGTGGCGGGAATGTTAGTTACGGAAGTGAAAGGAGGAAAAGCGGATGTCCGGAGCTTTAACCGGGTTGGTGGGTGTGGACAGTCCATCTAGGGGTGTTGGAAAACCCTGATTCCAAACCAATGGTGCACATGGGCTCCAGTATCCTGAAGGAGCAAATGGCGTATGAACCAATCGTTGATCACCGACTACTATGAGACTGCATCTCCTTACGATGCTCCACTTCCCTAAGGATCAGACCTTTATGTCGAATGCTCCAGGTGTGGTGTCCTTCTAAGAAATCCACGTGCTTCCGTTTTGGCACCCGGGCAGTATCACAGCCCTCACACGAATGAAATGAGATTTGTGTGACGCATATGTATCTGGTGCCTCTTCGTACCAGTATTTATGTGTTCAAATCAATCAGTTCAGCATAAAATCCATCATCGTATTCCAACTATTTCAGTTATAAGTGATTAACTCAGATTTGTATCATCATCTTAGTTACGAACCTGCGCATTTAGACTTGTAAATTGTTATTCTTTGTGAGTTTGTATTTTATTGATGACTAATCGCGTGATTTCACGAGCCTCTCTATCATAAAAGGCAGACATGAACACTTGTTTAAACTTCTAATGTTCCTATAAAGAACAGTTACGTGTATGACATTCCGTGATCCATTGATTGTGACAAATACAGAGAGTGATAACAGATTTAGTAGATTTATCCATGTTTGTATATTAACAAAGAAATTTGATAATTATGTATAATTGATCTGGGTAAATCATTCCAACTGATTCATTAGTATTGATATTTGTGAAAATAATCTAACCAGCCAGTTTTTAGATTTGTCACGGCCTGTATTGTTATTGTTATTCTTGTTTTTGCGTAAAATCCTGTACATACAATTATTGATACTTGAAGTTTATGTATGTAAAATGAAATAGAAATTTTACGTCATTAAATCCCGTTCATACTCAACGTAGAGCCTGATACATTTGTGCAACGGCTCTTTCTGCCACACAACAACAACACACAGAGAGATATACTAGAGCAATAGAAGCAGAAACTGTATAAATGATAGTAGGAAGGACTAACAATGAGCACTATGTTTCAGAAATATGGATTAGTGAACAGAAAGTACAAGTATAAAACTGAGGTTCTAAGGGAAGACAAAATATGAATGCATCTGAGCCATTGGAACTGATTAAGGACAAAGTAACTGTATTTATTGTTGACATGTGTATTATCAATAAAAAAATCCACTATTATTATTATTATTATCATACAAATCGATTTAGGCATATTAATTACTGCAACGTATCATATTTTTCAAAATGATTTTCAAGATTTAAAAGTGCTATAACCGGAATTTAAACCCTTTCGGTAAAAATAATTACGTAGTCACTAGTTACTTACTTCGAGAAGTGATTCAAGGAGTTCTAGTAAGCCACGAAAAGTAGAGTTCAATTATATCGAATGTGAGGCAATAACCCACCAATTACAATGGATTATGGTCACCCAACATCGAGACTTTAGGGTTCTAAGTTCGACCTGTGGTTGGATTGTGGACGCTGATAAGTCTATTACCATAGCACTTAATCTTGTTTTCCTATCCGGTTCCTATAGCTTAATTGCTAATACACGTCAAGTGAAACAGAGGGAAGGCACGGATTGAGTAAAAGCTTTACTCGAGATTAGTTTGCGTAAAAAAAAGTAAGGATATATATACATAGGGTTATGCACGACTTTGAGCTTCTAGAAACTTCTCAAACCATGCTAAACACAGTAACAGTATAGGACAATATTCAATCAAAACGATGAAACGTGATTCTTCCTTTCCTAGATGTTACTGCAAAGCTTCTATTCAACACTGATTGGATAAAACGTTTCCTGGAGTTTCTGAGCCTCTATCGACTATGAAGAGAGACATTTGGGCACCTATCAGATATTCACTGTTACTAAATCCCATACATGGATGAAACGGCGAGACTATAATTTTTGGACGAACCAATCAGATTTAAGATAACAGGTCATGTATTTTGGCGCCAAATTCATTCATCCATTTGGTTAAATATCGTCTTAGTATTAGAGCTTATCTAATTTTTAACTCTAACCATCAACTGTAAAACATAACTCTAACTGGTTTATAACCCTCACTTAATCCTTATCAGTAGGTGTCCATTCTCAAGGTCACTTCAGTGTCATTCAAATGTCGTCCATAAATTATAGTCTCACCAATGAATCTTGGTTGTCAATAGTATTTGTACATGTTGTAAACTATGAAAATTCAACAATTTTTATAGACCTTGTAGAGTAAAAGGTTTAAACTCGATAATCATAAAAAAACAATACATTCTTCATCTTTTTTGCTTTGTATCCATTCTAATCATTTGACCTTAATAAGCTTTTTAGTCATACAATCTAAATCAGAGTTTTCCTTTTGTTAAAACTTATTGCTTATTATAGCAGGTTTTTGTCAGTATTGTAATTTTCGAGACAAAAAAATGTAGCACAATTGAAACAAGTCTACGTTTTTTTTATTGTTGTCAAGACTGAATATATGTATGTATATATACATTGTTGTGTCTGTCTAGGTCTACCACATTGAATGTGCATCATTTAAAATGTTTATAACAAAGAAACAATAAAATAAGTTTTTTGTTAAGACAGAAAACTTTTTTTTCTCTTTTCCTTAATCAACAAACTAAAAGATGATTGTTTCTAGGGCTACGATAAAAACAGACAATGTGAAAAAAGAAACACCTTTAAGATTGGAACCATTTGGAACAATAAAGTTTATAAATAGTAGTGGAAATATTAGCTACAATCGAGAATAAATTACTTATTTCTGAACTATATTTAGTGAGAATAAATAAATTAACTAAGTATTATGGCCACGCGTATACAGCCACTATCAGGGAAGTTCTACTCACCGCCTTCTCGTAACACGGGTGTTGTTTACGAAATTGAGAAGACTAAAAGCAAATGTACGACACTTTAGTCGGGTTGATGGACATGGAGGATCCACTAAGGACAGTTGGAAAAACCTGAATCCAAACCAGTGTTCAACATGGACATCAGGATCCTGAGGGGACAAATAGAGTATGGACCTAGTGTGGATCACTGCCTACCATGGGACTGAATCAACTTACGTCGGTCCACTGCATTGAGGATTAGACTCCTAGGTCAAAGGCTCAGGGTGTGGCCCCTTAAGAAAACCACCTGCCTTGGTTATGGCACCCAAGCAAATCAATTGATGAAATAGTGAAACCTCATCAGTTGAGATCGCTGGGACATGTGTTATGTATACCCAATCATCAACTGCCCCGACATGCGATGTTTTATGGTGTAGGAATAGGTTGGAAGGAAGCTAGGGGTGGCCAGACCAAAACATGACACAAATCCATGAAGTCACTGACAAGTGAACTGAGTGAGCCATGTTGGTAAGTGTAGACTGACTAAGTGTAGACCCGTGAGACGACAGCAATCAATGGTCAGAGACCTTGAACGACATGGCTCAAAATGGTTTGAAATGGCGCAGGTGCATCCACTCTTTTTGTTCTCCCAAATTCTAATGTTCGGAATTTCTCATGTCTCCTTTTTTACTCTTTCCAAATTTATTTCACTGGATTATACTCCTTGAATAACGCCTTCAAAACCTAATCTTTTCGATCACTGCTTATACTCTTAATACATCTATCACTATGGGATCTGAATCGAAAACTACATCTCTGTGCTGATGTGATATGGCAACTCGAACTGATGTACGTACGAAGTTCTATGTTGTTACTGACTGACTGACTGACTGACTGACTGACTGACTGACTGACTGACTGACTGACTGACTGACTGACTGACTGACTGACTGACTGACTGACTGACTGACTGACTGACTGACTGACTGACTGACTGACTGACTGACTGACCCAGGCAGTAACCCAGCTCATACCCAGATTGAATGATAACTACTTTGTGGAGTATCAACTAATAATCTAATGAGGTAGCCAAATTTAAGGTAAATACATCCATTCAACATTAAAATTAAAGCATAAACTTATTCAAGTTCCCATTACATACCAGTCATTTTAAGATAAATAAGTTTATCACACTAACGAGAACACGTTCATGAGCTGAAATTCCACTATGTTGTAAGCAATTTGGAAAGAGAATATTCCTTGAACACCGAGAGTCACTATCACAAAACTGTTTTGTGTACCAAGTAATTTTAGATTTCACTATTTTGTCATATTTAACAATATTTATAACTCTTTATATAAAATAGATTAAATGTAGTTAGTAGTGGAATTTAAGATGCATGTTTCATCCTACTCAGGACTCATAAACTTGCATCATGGCTATATTGAAGTAAACCAAACAGAATACACTGAGAATTATCCAATCGTAGTCAAAATATCAACAATGGGATTATTCAAACAATTAAAAATTAAATTTCTAACTCTTGCTCAAGTTTTGTGCAAAAGTGTGAATAGTGTAAAGTGAACAATATACATAGAAATGTAAACTATTGGATATTAATTCAATAGTCTGAATGTTAAGTGCATACTACGAGACCTGAAGGCTATAGGGTTTTAAAAAGAAACAATATAGTTTAAAAAAATTGTAATAATGTACATCTGTAGGTAATAATAAATTACTACTCATAACACTTACCCTTGAATTTTGTCACCGTTTCATCTTTGTAATAATCAAAAAATATTTCAGTTTTATTTTGACTATGAACTTTGTATAGAATGAAGTATCTTCTTTTCCAGTCCTATTTCATCATATGTTACAAAGGCAAAATAAGAAATATGATTATTTCTATGATAAAAAAAGCAGCAAGCAACTCTTCACACCTTAGTTAATCATAAGCAATTTAAGAACCTGTTACATATGTGTATCAGCCTATTACATCACATCAATACAGATAGAGACAAAAGTATCAAAACAAACGACAGAGTAGTAAAAGTAGTGGTAGTAGTATCTGAGATCGTGAGAAAACGTCAGGTATATATAATATGATTAAAAGAAAATGAATATGTCCATGGAATATAAAGTATAAGATAATTTTGAAACAGAGTAAGTGTACCTGTGCTAATGCAACTGGTTCTAAACTATGTCACACAACGTCTCTAACCAATCGTTACAACAGTTTTGTAGACACCAATTAAATAGTTAACATCTACTAATATGGCTTAGTCCAACGGTCAATGAGTTCACGAACTGACAATCCGTCTTGGTTTCACCATTTCTAGCTTCCTTTGAGTCCACTTCTACACTAGCTAGTATCTCGTATTCAGGTAGACTGTGGTTTGGCATACACAACACATATCTCAACCACTTTATACGATAAAGATTAAATACCTTATTAGTTAATTTGACATTCTTGACCCAGTATCCTGTATCTAACCTTGGCATAACACAAGCGATGATCGCCAAATGACTGAGCAATGCTTCGAAGACACCTATGACCAAATGTTAGTGAACTAAGAATATCTTCTATCTTTGAAGACCATATCTCATATCCATAAAGTAGCATAAAGGAAACTGCCGAACAATAAACTCATCATTTGCCTAATAGATGGACATCTCCCCTACGCTACAAGTGATTCAAATCGGCCAAAATCAAGGTAGGCTTCCGAATCTGTGTCAAGATTTCGTCAGACACTAACCTACCGAGGCTGCGCAGAATTTGGAAATCGATGAAGTGCTCTATAATCGTAAGCACCTATCAACATAAATCAGTCCAAAAGTCAACGACTTCATGGGTCGACGTTATGTCTTGGTTTTTCTGTCCCTAGATTACATCCTATAGACTACTACACTAACAAACATCACGCATCGAGGTGGAGGTTGGTTCACCATATCTACATATATATCTATATTTCAAAGCTCCAATTCAATAAATCATAACCGATGTAGAAACCTGAACCAAATATGTATTAGCTCAATTTAGTATATCAAATTAGTATAGTAAGATGAGCTTATTATCATTAAAATAAACATTACAGCACTGAAAACAGTAGTATAAATAATAAACATAAAGATTAGATATAGAAAATATATGGTATTTTATTACTAAAACACACTTTTTTTATTCGGATTATTTATTACCATCAACCTACAAATTCAGAACTTATAAACACATAATATTGTACTTTAATTTTGTTCTCATCTCATCGACTATGTTTCTATCAGTTTGTTATACACATGTTTGAACAAGTAGTAATACATAAATAAATAGTAGTCTACTAAACAATTTTATTTATTTTGATTTGGTTTTTTTTTAAAAAGAAAAAGATACGATATTTGGCCTAATTTATAAATACTACTCACTACTAAACCTAAACCTAAGAATATGCATGAAGCCTTACTTATCTATACATATATATGTAACTAAGAGTTTGAGACAATAAAATCTTCACTACATAAACAGCGTTTCTTTTAGCGAGTTAGTTGTCTACGGGATGGGGTCGCTAACCCCATGCCCAACTCTCCTCCTTTAGCCGTGCTTGGAACCGGCAGTAACTCTAGAAGAGCATTCTAAATAAGGACAGGAGTCGAACAAGACTGTCTACTCTCTCCTTTCCTCTTTCTTCTGATGGTTGACTGGATTATGAAGACCTCGACATCTGAGGGAAAACACGACATACAATGGACAGCTCACAACCAATTAGACGATTTACACTTCGAAGATGACTTAGCCCTCCTATCCCATACACATCAACAAATGTAGATGAAGACAAGTAGTGTAGCAGCAGCCTCTGCATCAATAGCCCTCAACATACACAAAGGAAAAACCAAGATCCTCAAATAAAACACGGAAAACACCAACACAATCACACTTGATGGCGAAACTCTAGAAGATGTAGAATCCTTCACGTACCTGGGAAGCACCATCGATGAACAAGGATGTTCAGATGCAGATATAAAGGCGACGATTGGCGAAGCAAGAACAGCATTCCTACAATTAAAGAACATATTAAACCTAAAACAACCGTCAACCACTATCAAGACAGTTCTACTGTACGGGGCTGAATCTTGGAGAACTACTACAACAATCATCAAGAAGGTACAAGTATTTATAAATGGTTGTCTGAGCAAGATGCCCAACATCCATTCTCCGGATACCATCAGCAATAGCCTTCTGTGGGAAAGAACAAACCAGATTCCAGATGAATAGGAAATTAGGAAAGACTATGGAAATGCATAGGACATACATTACTGAAATCACCAAACTGCATCACGAAGTAAGCCCTAACTTGGAATCCTGAAGGAAGCAAAGTGGAAGGCCAAGGAACACATTTTGTCGAGAAATAGAAACAGTTATGAAAAGAATGAATAACAACTGAAAAGAACTGGAAAGGATTGTCCAGCACAGGGTTGGATGGAGAATGCTGGTGAGCGGCCTATGCTCCTTCATGAGGAGTAACAGGTGTAAGTAAGCAAGTACATAAACAGTGGACAATTGAATATTTACACTATTTGATTTGACATGAAGATCAATTGTAACTGTGATAGTTTAATGAAAAAGTCAGGAGAACTATGGATTTTGAGTAAATTGAAATCACTATTATATAATATGCAATTTATGAGATCACTTGAAAATATGTATAAAGATGATTAAAAGTGAAATTATCTGTAGAAATGTGAAGTCACAATTCCATTTTGACTTTAGTATTAAAATGTAGATCCTAATTAACTTTGTATATATATATTGACTTACCATATATAATATTCAAAGTCGAACTACAAATGTTTAATATACATACCCTTGTATAATTAGTCAAAAAGTACAAGCATAGAATCTTTGTGATTTAAAAATTGATGTGCTAGCTAACTTATGGAGTTAAGTGCAAATCTATATAATTCAATTGGGTTAAGAACGGTACATTTAGTGGTCAGGCTTTACAATCAAATAGTTTATGAGGGAATTTGATAGGAACTGTTAGAACTCTTTAAGTTAGAATCTTCTAAAACAGTGTTTTAAATAATACTCAATCTTTTAGTAAAATAAATTGAAGAATTTCAATATTAGGCAAATACTTTCGTTGCAATTTACTCATGAATACATCCGCCGAAATTCAGCACTTTAGAATGGATTTTCAAGTCATTTTTGAAGATTTTATGGAGTTTGCCCTCACTATTTATTCTTGGGACTAGATTATTTGACATAGATCTAGCCAATCATGACCTTTAAACGGAGATGATAAACCTTTAAGCCAAAAATAGCCTGAATAAACCCCTTAAACGTAAGTTTCTTAATCTGAAAAATTCTTCAAGTAAAATGTTCGCTTTTTTGAGTCAACTGACATTTATAAACAAGCTTTCCGTATATGAAAGCCCGAGATCAGATCACAGCTACAAGATACAAATCTACAGTCTCATTAAAACCAACGGACTGATTCCTGATTACAATACACTAGTGGAAAATTGTAAACAGTTTTGCACGTTTCATTGAAATTGTTATATTACGTTGCTTGTATAAGTTTATGTTATCCTAATATAAACATGTGACGGATTCTAGTAAGCTAAAGTAGGTTTGTACGTTATTGTTACTATTGAACGTGTGATTATTAATTACTATCTGTAGTAGTAAACATCACACTTAGTACTGCTACGTTCAAATGTTGTGCCAAGAAGAATATGTCTAGATCTTAAAGGGAAAACGTTTGTCTGATCATAATAGATAAATAGATAAAATATGTGATTGATTGACATATTCGAACAGATTATTTAAACAAGACGCCGATCTCTCTATATTAACTGACTAGATAGCAGAAGAAGGAATCACTGGTCAAACAACAAACTACATATATTAGGGAATTATAGCTGTCATTTCCACATAAAATGCCTTATAAAAAAGAGTTTTGTCATGAATTATCTATCACAAAACAAATAACTAATTAAGAATAAAAATGGAATTCGCAAAACAATCAAACAATACTATGCATCCAGCTAAAAGACAAAATGGTGTAGGAGAATTAAGATATCCTACTGACCATCTCCAAATTATGTACACCTAGCCATGTCATTTAAATCCATCTATACACTATATTCAGAGATTGTCAGTCAGTCAGTAACAACGTAGAACTTCGTACGTACATCAGTTCGAGTTGCCACACCACATTAGCACAGAGATGTAGTTTTCGATTCAGATCCCATAGTGATAGAGGTAGTAGGAGTATAAGCAGTGATCGAAAAGATTAGGGTTTGAAGGCGTTATTCAAGGAGTATAATCCAGTGAAATAAATTTGGAAAGAGTAAAAAAAGGAGACATGAGAAATTCCGAACATTAGAATTTAGGAGAACAAAAAGAGTGGATGCACCTGCGCCATTTCAAACCATTTTGAGCCATGTCGTTCAAGGTTTCTGACCATTGATTGCTGTCGTCTCACGGGTCTACACTTAGTCAGTCTACACTTACCAACATGGCTCACTCAGTTCACTTGTCAGTGACTTCATGGATTTGTGTCATGTTTTGGTCTGGCCACCCCTAGCTTCCTTCCAACCTATCCCTACACCATAAAACATCGCATGTCGGGGCAGTTGGTGATTAGGTATACATAACACATGTCCCAGCGATCTCAACTGATGAGGTTTCACTACTTCATCAATTGATTTGTCACCCTTACCTAGTACCGGCTTCATAGATTGATACAACTATGAATTGGTCAATTAACTTAAATTTGCTGATATCAAGCGACCAATAATCCACATCTCAATGACTTTTGTTTAGATAAATACACAAAATATTTATAAACTAATGTAACAGTACACGATATGTAATTATTCATGTTTTAAATTTATATAAACTTAAGAAAATAAACATAGTATAATACCAGATTTTATTTAAAATTACAAGTGAACAAACAGTTTAATTTAATCTTTTAAGCATTAGCCAATTCCTAAAGTGATTTAAACAACTTACTAGTTAACAGATATATAGTTAGTATAATAGAATGCAAATATGTTCATATTCAAAATAGATTTATATGGCAACCAAACGAAAAACTTTTTTGATTTTAGTACAATCATGATGTAATTAGTTAGTCAATAACCCGACTGTATAGTCAACATAGAGCCTGCCACAGATGTATGTTCCCTCAAGTAATCTGAAATGTAGTTGAGTTTTCCACAATCTCCCTCTCCTTCTTATGAAATAAACCATGAACAAGTGACAAGTTTGATCATACGAATGGTTACTTTTAGTCGTTTTAAATATTGGTTGCACTAACGCAAGGATAAACGATTATTTATCTATTTCACAAATTTCGAAGTTTTTATCCATAATGGTCGGTGATAAATATGAAAGAATTATAACAAGCCTTTGTGATTAAATACTTATATTCTAAATAATGTGAATATCCTAGAAGAAAATTTTGAAACGAATGAAGATATGTTATTAGAAATATGAATTAACAGAGAAGGTAAGATGAGTATAGATCGTTTGTTCATTAACGATTTCGAAGGATTTTGAAATGTCAACGTCGTATCTACCATCAAGTAGATGAGTGGTAATACTCAAAATATTCAGTTCTCAAGGTGACAGTGACAACACCAAGTTACTGGGTCAACAGCAATGGTCCGTACTCCAAACTACTAATGACGTGTACTAGTTACTGTAAGACCCTCGATTTGACTTACTCCATTAACCATAGCTTCCTATTAAAATGTTGCAACATATTTTACTATTTATTGTCGATTTATTATTTTACTATTAATCGGAGTGGCCTTTTAATTTTTAACTGACGTCGCAATCCCATAAGGTTGAGAGAGTACTAATGAAAAGTCTAAAACTCGAAAGAAATGGCTATTCAGTGCTTACCGATATTCAATAGTTCCCTAGCTAGTCTTATTTTGTTCTGAGAGCCACTTTATACTTGATATATCAAGAGTATATCACCAACTCTGATGACATTGAAAAAAATTAAGCATAGAAGTGATTCGAAGAGAAGGAATGAATTCGGGGGAAATAATTTTAAGACTTAAAATTTTACTTCAATTATATCAAATAATACATTTTATTGGTGCGTTTTCAATACGATTACTTCTCTTCTAACTTGGAAAGAGTAAGGATAAATAATCGAGCAGAATAACACGAGCCCACTTGATTTTGTTAGGTTCTTGTCAGCTGCTCACAACTTGTAATATTTAGAATTCAAAATTAAAGTGGGTTGAAAATACTTGCATAATGAATGTAATTGGAATTCGCTGTAATTATATGCCAGCTTAGCATTGGAAAGACGTAAATAAATTTTAGTTATTACTCGTCTGTTTGAACACAGAAATCTTAGTATTATTGAGCACCAAAATATACGCCACACAAATAAGAAAATGCAATTGCGGATAAATAAGCCTATCATTGGTCATCAGGTATCGTTTAATTGCACCTCGTGACTTCGTGCTACCACCTCATGGATTAAACCTTTTGACCGAAGGATCGATAAGTGGATTTCTAAGAAAACTACCTGTTTTGGTCTGTGAGTACGAGCAAAATTCCAGCCCAAAGGGATCTGTGTATGAAAAACCTTTATTTTTTAACAATATAATCATTTTATTTTGAACGCCATATTTCTTGGAACCTTATTGTGCCAGACGTGTTTTGTGCTAAAACCACAATAAAAGGCTTGGCATGCATACAAACTACAGTCGATTAAATAACCAATAATCAGCTTGGGGGTTACGGAGACCGTTGAATGTTATCGATATCACGAACCAATCCCAGTTAAAATACCAAATATTCAACAATCTTCACAACCCCCTACTATGATAGTTATCATGCGCTTATTAGTGACCAGCTTAGAGGGCAAATGTTCCGAGTTCTAGTGATAGACAAAGTTTGATTGTGTAGGATGTTAAGAAGATAGCCACTAAAGACAGTAGGAGATGACCGCGCAATATCGCAGATTGGCTGAATTTAGACATGCACATCATTGGATTCTGGCTGTGGCCTAGAGATTAGGCGTTCACGCACAAGACCGAAGGTACTAATTCTGTTAACCTGTGGCAGGTTTACGAGTGGCTTATTCAGATGAGTTCCACACCAGAACGAAACAGCTGTCCAATTCTTTATGGTTTTCAGTGGTTTTCTGACTTAAGCCGGTTAGTGGTCTCAATAAATGACTGATAATTAACAAATGAAATTGTAATAACTAAATCACTTATATGTAGCGTGAAAGCAAATAGTGCAACCAAATCTAGAGATTTGTTAACAAATCAATTAACAACTTACTAGAACACTGGATTCTGACGAATGTTTCATACAGTGAAGCTAAAGATGTTTTATTAAAGTTTCGTTTAAAAGAAAACAAAACAGCAATGAACATACATTCCACAGGAGTTTACGCAACAATTCAATACGTCTGCTTTTCATCAAATAGCCACAAATAATAACATCTCCGGTAGACAAAACTTTCGAGCTTTTATTAAGATTTCAATTAAATAAATGATTTAAAGGAACACTATGACACTAGCTTACTTCGAAACCATAATTAGCTCGTTATTTAGCAAAGTGACGCTTGAAAATGAATTTTATTTGCCACGATACTACCTGGAATATAGTGACGTTTTTCTTTAACTTGGAATCTAGAAGGGAAAGGAACCAGCATTAATAGCGATTAACTTTGCAAAATGGCAATCATAAAAGCAATGAACCTTTGCCCTAAAGTAGTATAAATAGTCCTCGAACCAATACTTTTGACTCTGACTATAAACAAAAAAAATCAAGACAAACACCGAAATAATATTCATTTTCAAGTAGTAACAACTGTTAACACAATTAAAAATCTCGGATTTATGAAGCGCAATTACCAAGTTTTTTGATGTGTGAAAATATCTAGAGTATCATGTTAATGTAGGTGAGATGGGGCTCAAACCTGAGACTGAATGGCTAAGACTTGTGCTACTCAAAAACTGATGTGTCCATTAAAGAGTGTACATTATATATGAAGTTACTTTACACTACTTTATAACTATGAAACCAAGCATCCAATAGTTTAAGATGTATATGAGTAGCCAGTACTTGAACATACCTTCGAAGCATTTCTGTAATTAAATGTAACTACAGAGTAGGTCATGCTGATGTTAAGGTAAGATAATGGGTGCAGAAGATAGGTCTGTTGATCTATTCGTGATTTTTCATCAATTTAAATCGTCTGAACATGCGTCACGCATGCTTATTTGTTAGTAATCTGAAAATTAATCTTAGCTAATATATAAGGCACTGACTATTCTTATTATAAAATGATATTCTTTGGGTCTTGATTTAAGCTTGTTGTACATTTCATTTAAACAATTAACTATTCTACGACATTTGAGTACTGTTAATTGAATATATCCAAGATGACTGGCTTTGAGATATTATCAGATGAAAGATTAGGTGGTGAAATGAAAGTGATATTCTAATTTGGATAACGTGAATTAAAAGCAGCTAGCTTCACAAAATGTTGCGGATTTGTACTACCTAGTATGGGTTGCAGTGAAGGGAATCGAGCTAAGATTTGAGAAACTTCAAGTGCGAGGAGATACAGGCTATCCGCTTAATGACCACAATCAGTCGCTAAAGACTATGGGTCAGAATCTTTCACAATGACACAGATGTATTGACTATTTATCTCTCTCTCGATCTTGGATTTTAGCATTCCTGTACGCATACCTTTCAATTCTTTCTTTTCGAACCAAAGTTTATTATTATAAATAAATATATTATTTATTTATAGCAATCTAACAAATGCTCAACTTACTTGAAATTATCAAATCAAACCTTAATAATGATACATACAAAGTTTACTATTGCTAAATTCATTGCTACTACACTTTTCGACCTATATCCACATTTATCTTATTAACTTAATCAGATTGTGTTTATATAATGCGATCATTTGGGAGAATGTACATCTGCGCTAGCACTTATGTCGATCAACTTACTAAGAAACGTGAACCATGCATGAAAAACGTTTTTACATTTTATAGTCATATGACTTACAACAGAAACTAACCAAAACGAAATGCACAGATTCAAATTCGATTTTTTTTATTACCACCCAATATTTGGAAGTAATGGTCTACTGCATTTGCATTTTACTCAGATGAAGATATGGGTTTACTTTACCACTCCATAACAATGTGAACTATATGGATTCTTAGTACCTCACATTCAAGTCTATTCTTCAGATCAGAGAAGGGAACAAAAGAACATTCAGCGCAACTATTTTAGCTCGACTAGATAACTGAGAAAAACCCTTTTAGCATGTCACGAGAATAACTGACGTAACAAGTGGTCGGGCTTCCAGACGAGTAGTGTTGGTGTTGCGAAAAAAGTTCAAGTCAAGGATTTATGTGCTGTAGGCTGGATCGCAAATTTTAACTGAGTGATGAGATAAGACATGAATACAATTTCAGCATCCCCTGTGCAGTATTGCCTGACCTAGTAGTACGCTGGAAGATTAAAGACAGTTAAATTTGTATGCGTAACCAAAACGTTAATCCGAGTATTCAACAAAATCGTGTGAATGATTGAGGGCGCTTATTGTTATAAACCGGTTTTAAGCATCACAGGACCTCTCAAAATCGAAAATGCCAAGATGACATGCACACTGTGGTAAAAAGCTTATCCATCTAGTATTAAAATCCCAATCTTAATATTTCGGGGAAGCCGCTACAGAAATAGCACAAAAACCCCAGAATTTCCCTCGGATTTGGAGGATGAGTAGAAAATAGTAAGAATCCAAAGGGTCGACGAAAATCTCATCCGTGGGGATTTTTTAATCACTGATTATTCAAAAAACGACCCTAAAAACATGCTTTGACAAAGCGTGTGGTTGATGACTTTTGCACTCACTATCGACATGAGCTAGGAGATTGAAATATCGCATAAACATCAAAAAAGGAAACTGATGACTTGAGTTGTCAATTATACATTTATAAATATAGATGCATTTATACGCCTAAAACTTGACAATTTTTGTAATACGAGTGAATCAAAAGCCACTGTTCATCACACAAACTGCGTATGAAATACAACATAAAAACTTAAATAACTTTGGAAATAATAAACAGGCATATTAACTTCATGAGCAAACATGTAATGAGAAAATATTTTAGATTACAATTAAATCAACCTTGAGAACATTTGAAATGATGCAGAGTCTTCAAAGCTCAATCTGTGAATTTCGACACAGAAATTAAAAGTTTTTTTATTTATGATCTACTATTATGAAAATCGAACATTAAAGTCACAAACTGTTTTGAACTTTTTTGATTCATAAAAGCTCTGGTAAAATGTGGTCTTTGAGTAATGATCTATAAGGACGTCTATTTCGTCTAAATCAGTAACTTATGTTACATGTATTGGTGGAATAAGGTTCTCATTTGCTATACTGTCATTAGTATAGCCATGGTTCTTCGGAAGCAGTGTAATTTACACACACTGATTTGTAGGTAGTAGGCGAGGGTATGTTCAATTATACTATGGATTTTAACTGTCAAAATGGGTTCTATTCTTACAAAAAAGGCGCTAAAGACCCGATAGTAAAGTTAGCAGTCAGCTGGCGAGTAAAATGTGCCGTGCTTTAAGATCGAATGGCCTAACCGATCAGCATAAATTATATGGAAGGGAATAAAAATGAAGTAGTTATTTTGTATTCGCTTATAAACGCCATCAAACCAAATGATGGTACGCACTCATGCAAATAAGTCATGTTGAGGTCTGGAAGTGACTTCAATTTGCATTATTTATATAATTTAACAGACAACATTTAACTTTTCGGTGGCATTTTCTCTCTATAAAATAATAAAAAAATCAGCATAACATCTTGAGAATCTATGCACCAGACTTCGCATTCTGGGTAAAAATATCAAGTATTTCCCAAACATTTGAGTCTGCACGAACGAATAAGTTTCTGTGGGCTCTCTGATAACAAGTTTTCCTTCGGCATAATAGTGACACATTTAGCATGGATGACGCACAAGTTAGTGTCTTCGAAAAGCCCAACAAGGTAGGCTTCGCTAGCTTCCTGGAGAGCAGAAACTGCCGAGCTTTGGAAACGAAGGTTAGTCTTGAAGTATTGCGCAATCTCCAAACGCTGGAAGGGCGGTTTGCGTATCAGTAGTTCGGTTGACTTTTGATAACGACGAATCTCACGTAGGGCAACTGTTGCAGGACGATAACGATGAAGTTTCCTAACACATCACCAGTAGCTGGTGCACTTTTATGTGCCACTTTCGTAGCTAACTACTTTCTTGGAGCCTTCCAACCTGTAATCGTATGGGCAGTCTGCTTCGTTCGTGCCATGACTGTGAACAAGTTAGAGGTGTTGTGTAAAAATGAGATAAGTTGTCTTTTGTCAATCACTGCTGTTAACATTTTATAAAAGCTGAGAAAACTCACAGTTCGAATTAAACATTGGTATCAGCGTTGTATAATATTCTCTCACACATATCATGAAGATTGGTTTGTCTAATAAAAGGTAGTTCAAACCGCGAGTTTGCCTCAATTTGAAATATAACCGATATATATTCTATTAATCATACAGATATATTCATATAGTCCTTTCGTCAATATGCTGTAAGAGAAATTATTTTCTATAAATCAAGAACCGGAGACTAAATTCCGATATTGCCTTCATGATAATAAATGGTTATTTTCTGTCTGCTCATTTACTAAAATAGAAATGTCTAAAATCAAACTACAGGGTATGGAAAGCACTTACCGAAGTTCACGAACGTGTACAGAGACCAGAAAATTAGCATGTTAGAAATATTTGCAGACTGACGTTTTTTCCTTCAGGCCAAAAAAACTAGAAGAATGATTGTGCATCAAGAACAGTGCTCTAAGTCAGGTCACCCTCTGATTTAATGACGGTGTTAAACAGAACCGTTTCAGTTAGAAATAACTATTGAATTATTTTTTGGAGAATTACATACCACCACAGTCCACTCTCTCCCTGGTGAACATTCATTTCAAAGAAAATTCAATGGAATAATCTTTGGGCTTCTGTTTCCATATCATATAACTAGTAAACCTAAATCGTGCTGAAATCCAAATTTAATGTATTGATAGCGATGATCATTCACCCTACTTGTGAAATCCTAACATCACTAGCCCGGAAGCTAAGTTCCTATCACAAAAGCAACATTTTATCAGTATGAACAAGCGTTTTTAGGCTGTTAGTTAGGTTTTTTCTAAGCATTGTTCAGATTACCGGTGCTACTGATATACATCGATGATTAGAGTCGATTGTAGTCGAGCGGGAGTATAACGACTCTCCAGCTTATGTCGAGATCATACTTCGCAGCTAAAACCCGAAGCAAATTATGCTCTTGTGGTATCCAGGTTCTATAGCCACCTCGTGTTGGTACGGAAGAAATGCGTTGTCTCACCAATAAGCTCAAACGACAAGGTATCAAACCACATTTAATTGATTGGCTAACTTCATATCTAAAAAATCGACGTATTAATGCCAGGGTTAAGTCCAATTTCTCTCGGGCTACGGAATTCCTAACGGGGTCCCCCAGGGTTTATTCCTAAGACCTCCTCTTTTCTTGACTTATATAAACGATCTTCCACAGCAGGCACCGTCATACTTATTACTTTTGTTGATGTGAAACTTTGGAGAGAGGTTAGATGTTACTTACGCCTGTTACTCCTCGTGAAGAAGCATAGGCTGCTCACCAGCACACTCCATCCAAACCTGTCCTGGGCAATCCTTTCCAGCTCCTTCCAGTTGTTATTCATCCATCTCATATCTACTTCTATTATCCGAGGTAATGTATTCTTTGGCCCTCCTCTTTTCCGCTTCCCTTCAGGATTCCAAGTTAGGGCATGCCTCGTGATGCAGTTTGACTATTTGCGTAGTGTATGTCCTATCCATTCCCATCATCTTTTCCTAATTTCTTCATCAGCAGGAAGCTGATTTGTTCTTCACCACAAAAGGCTATTGCTGATGGTATCCGGCCAGTGGATGTTGAGTATCTTGTGTAGACAACTATTTATAAATACTTGTACTTTCTTGATTGTGGTTGTTGTAGTTCTCCAAGTTTCAGCCCCATACAGTAGAACTACCTTGACATTCGTGTTGAAGATTCTCACTTTGATATTGGTTGAAAGTTGTTTTGAGTTTAATATGTTCTTCAATTGTAGGAATGCTGTTCTTTCTTTGCCAATCCTCGCCTTTACATCTGCATCTGAACCTCCTTGTTTATCGATGATGCTTCCCCGTATGTGAAGGATTCTACATCTTCCAGAGTTTCGCCATCAAGAGTGATTGAATTGCTGTTCTCCGCTTTGAATTTGAGGACCTTGGTTTTCCCTTTGTGTATGCTGAGGCCTACTGATGCGGAGACTGCTGCTACACTGGCTGTCTTTGTCTTCATCTGTTCGTGTGTATGCGATAGGAGGGCTAGGTCATCTGCGAAGTCCAAATCGTCTAATTGATTTCGAGCTGTCCATTGTATTCCGTGTTTTCCTTCAGATGTCGAGGTCTTCATAATCCAGTCGACCACCAGAAGAGAGAGGAAAGGAGAGAGTAAACAGTCTTGTCTGACTCCGTTCCTTATTTGGAATGCATCTGTCAGCTATTCTCCATGCACGACATTGCACTGTAGTCCGTCGTATGAGCTCTGGATAATATTGAAAAGCTTCTCAGGAACTCCATAGTGTCAGTGAAGTTTCCATAACGCCCTCCTATCTACATTGTCAAACGTCTTATCATAATCAATGAAGTTGGTGTATAGTGATGAGTCCCACTCAACTGATTGTTCGACGATGATCCGTACTGTCGCAATTTGCTCTGTGCACGACCGATCCTTACGGAATCCAGCTTGTTGATCTCGAAGTTGGGCGTCTACTGCATCTTTCATCCGGTTCAGCAACACTCTCTTCAAGACTTTCCTTGCTATTGACAGTGGTGTAATGCCTCTGTAGTTCTCACGTTTGCTCAGATCTACTTTCTTCGGAATGATGCTTTGATGATTCTGGATCCGTGAGCTCCCATCCTACAAGTGCATTTCGTGCTACATTGGACAGCATTAGAGCAACTCCCTGAGTGTGTGGAGCATTTTCCTCTTCGTGACCGGAGTATAGCAGCATCTCTTCCGTATCTGGACTTTGCTGTCCAGCTTGGGTCCAATGGGTTTCGCTGATTCCTAGTACTGCCAAATTTCATCTCCTCATTTCCGTTGCTATTTGACTGTTCTTCCCGGTTTCCCACATTGTTCGGACGTTCCATGTGCCTACAAAAATTTTCGCTCTGGTTGTTAGAAGGGGCATCGGCCTCGTGGCTTCCGAAGGAACTCGGCTTTCACTATGAAGCGTCATAATTCTTCTAAATGAAGACCTTCTAACTCCCAGGGCAGAGTTAAAATGGTTTGAATTATTTTTTCTGGTAAGCGTTTTTTTAGCGAGTTAGATTTCTACGGGATGGGGACGCTAACTCCATGCCCAGCCCTCCTCCTTTACCCGGGCTTGGGACCGGCAGTAACTCTAGTAGAGCTACAGGCGGAGTTTTGGAGAGAGGTGCGCAACCAAAAAATTTGCTGCGACTTCAGCAGGATCTGACTCGACTTCAAAATTTGGCAGGTGACAACGGATTTACCTTTAACACCTCAGCTTGTAAAGTAGTCCACCTGATACATTTTGCAGGTTACAGCTACTACTCGAAAGGTTTTCTGAGTTGTAAATTATCTTGGAGTGTTGGTACCTTGCAATTTGAAGCCTTACGCTAACTGTGACAAAAGTCCTCTCAAGAAAACATTGCTCTGGTTAAATTGAAGCGCATTTTTGGCCAGTTAGACGGAAAACCTTACAACATAATCTTCGACAGTTTTACTTGTCCCCATTCAGAGCAAGGGAACATAGTATTTCTTCCCTAACTTTAAAAGGAAAAGGACACTCTGAAAAGTATCCCACGGCTAGCCACGAAATCAGTTCGGGTACTTAAATTCAGGCCTAATGAAGAGAGCCTCTAATCACTGAACCTCTACCAACTAGAGTACAGGCGTTTTAGAGGTGACCTCCTTATAGCTTATGGCATCCTAAATACTTCTGAACATCTCCTTTAACACTTCAAGTTAAAGCCCAATACAAACCTAATGTGTACCAACGAGAAACTGGAGACATAACACAGCAGAAAGGACTGTAGAGTGGTCAAACGTCGG